GGTGAAGACAGCAGTCAGCTAGCTGATGGATCAGAGAACTTTCTTCTCAACACTGTATATATATATATAAATTTTAAAATAGTTTCAGTGTAATTCCAGAAATGAACCGTTCCTATTTCTTCAACTGAATGGTCAACAGCAATCAGAAAAAGTCTCTCTAATCTGTCAACATTCAGAAGGCATATTCCCTTTCTTTTCGCACATTGGAACCCAAATAAACTATTGGCAGGACCTTCCGTTTTGAGCAAATACAAACAACTTCTCACCCATTACGGTAGAATCAAAGAAATTGGAGAAGCTGTGTCCCCGTTGAATGCCTTTCATTTGACTTTTCTTATTTTCGTGTATTCCCCATATTTTCAGTTTGTGTTCCAATTTCTTCTTCGTTTCTAACCAATAAATCTCTGATTTGATTTACGAAAGTCGTTTATCCCTCAAATTTGTTTGTTTTTTGTCTGTTTTTCCAGTTATTTGATGTTTGAAAAGAAAGAAAAAAAATCGAATTTTGTTGGTTGACACCTAAACAAATTTAATTTTTGCTAAAAGAAAAAAAAAACGACAATTTGGAGAGAAATTTTGAAAATTGATTGCCAGTTCGAAATTGGAAGAAAAAGAAAAACTTTTTGTTTTCGAAAAAGAAACAAGGAGAAGGAAAAAAGGGGCAAAGGAAGGATATAGTCAAAGATGTTCGAAATGAACTCTTCGGAGTTTTTGGAGGTTCAAAATCCGATTTCGAGAATTTCGGAATATTTTGATTTTGAAAAAATTGTTATTTCGCAATCTGCCCTTACCAATAACAAAATCTTGGAAAACTGACAACCAGACTTCGAAAAGAAAAAATCTAAAAGTTATTTTGCTCGAGACCCGCAAAGTTCTCGTGTGCGCTATTGAAACACTGTATTCCAATAAGCCCTAGTTCCGAAAAAAGTTTGGGAAATATTCCGATCGGAATTTTCGGAATTCCGAAATCCCTTCCGAACATCTTCCGAATTCCCTTCCAAACCATCTTGAAAAATAAGTATATAGATTACGTGACTTTTCGAGAAAAAGCGAGAAGCGAAGCGACGAACCAGTACAAAAACTAGAT